GGGGTGGCCTCAGAAGCCACCACCCAGGACTCCGAGGCCATCCAGGGCTGGTAGGAAAACAGACGCTCCCCAGAAATTATCCCAACACATCGGAGTCTGGGGACACCCACGGCTCCCGGTAAAGATGCATGAAAAAGTGCCTTGATTCTTCACGGGAGAATTAAACAACCAGCACCTTCAGAGCATGCCCTGAGCTTTGCACAATTCTATTTAAGCACGTCCATCACGAAGCATCCACAGAGTTACAGGTCAATTTGCCTCAGTAAAGTTGGGGAAGAAAAGAAATGTGATATTAAGGGGCTATGTGTAACTAAGAGGGAATCACCTGTAAAGCGATCACGCGTTACATGATAAACACTGTTTAGAACCTTATGCAAGTGACCAAAAAACCAGAGGCAAGTATTTTGCAGCCACTTATACTTGGTTTTCAATAGACCACAGAGAAATGATGGAGTGAAAAAAAAAAAAAACACCAAAACAGGATACAAAGTTGTATGTGATGTAGGATGATGATTAAAGAGTATTAACATTATAGGGAAATAAATCAAATGTTCATATTAGCAAAAAAATAAGCACGTCCACTAATAATGGCCTCTGCTGTTCACCTGTTTTGTATATAGTAACGTGTATATGTTAATCCCAGTCTAATTTATCCCTCCCCCTCTTCCCCTTTGGCAACCGTAAATTTTTCTGTGACTATTTCTGTTTAAGTTCATTTGTATCATTACTTTAGATTCCACATGTAAGTGATATCACATGATATTTGTCTAACTTCACTTAGTATGATAATATCTAGGTCCATCCATGTTGCTGCAAATGGCATTATTTCATTCTTTTCTATGGCTGAGAAATATTCCATTGTGTATATGTACCACATCTTCTTTATCCAACAAGGATTTACTGTATAGCACAGGGAACTATACTCAATATTTCATAATTACCTATATGGGAAAAGAATCTGAAAAAGAATATATATATATATATATATATATATATATAACTGAATATAAAACTGCATCACTTTGCTGTACACCTGAAACTAACACAGCATTGTAAATCAACTATACTCCAATTAAAATTTTTAATTTTTTTTAAATAAATGAAAAATTCAAGCAAGTTTTCAAAGAACGAAAAAAGGAAGACTAATGATAGCAGATAGCAGGCATCAGTATCATGTTGGCTTAGGGTTTAGTTCCATACTTTGATAATTGTTTATGTATCTATTACTTGTATTATTAAATTAACGTGACATTTTTAATTTTTATCTTTAAAGAATGATAAAATTGGAATACTTACGTGAATTTCTTATCCTATTTCATTTTTCCTGACAGCTTTGGTTAGTAATGTAATTTTCATATTGACAGCTTTATAATATTACCATTTGATTTAGTAACAATAACTGCCAATATCATTTTAATCTAAACTACAGAGTTAAATATTTTCTCTGTTCAACTATCAATTAGGCAGAATTAAGACTTACAGTTTCTTTAAGAAGGGTTTATTAAAACTACATTTCCTGAATTACAAAAAAAATATTGGCATCTGAGAAGCAGAATTCAATGACAAGGCAATGTTTAAAATTGACAGCGAGTGGGGTGACCACAGCTTGGGTGTTTTACACGAGAGGAAGACGCTTGGCAATTAAGTCCGTCAGCATGAGGAAATGAAATTTTTTTTGACAGGTCCTCTCATGACTGGGAGGGGCTTGGCTCCTATATTCCTTGGACTCTCAACTCTAACTGGCTTTCTTGTAGTGCCATCTATGGACATAAATTATGTTTAGTTATGGGTCCCTCCAGAGAAATGGACCAACAGTAAGCACAGAGAGAAAGAGAAAGGGCACAGAAAGAGACAGAGAGATTATATGAAGGAACTGGTTCATTCAACCACAGATGTGTAGAGGGAGCACCCCAAAATCTGAAGGGTAGACCAGAAGGCTGGAGACCCAAGGAGAGCTGAGGTTACAGGTTGAGTCCCACGACCATCTGGAGGCAGAATTCCCTCTTCCTTGAGGAACCTCCGTCTTTTTTTCTCCTAAGATCTTCAACTGATTGGACAAGGCCCACCCACATTGTGAAGGACAATCTGGTTATGTCAAAGTCTCCTGGTGTCAATTTTTTTTTAATTGTAGTTGATTTACAATGTGGTGCTGGTTTCCGGTGGACAGCAGAGTGATTCAGTGATATATTTTTTCAGATTCTTTTCCACTGTAGGTTTTTACAAGATATTGAATATAGTTCCCCGTGCTCTGCAATAAATCCTTGTTGTTTATTTTATATAGAGTAGAGTGTGTATCTGTTAATCCCAAACTCCTTAGTTATCCCTTTCCCCTTTGGTAGCCATAAGTTTGTTTTCTATGTCTGTGAGTCTGTTTTGTACAGAAGTTCATCTGTATCATACTTTAGATTCCACATATAAGTGATATCATAGGGTATTTGTCTTTCTCTGACTTACTTCACTCAGTACGATCATCTCTAGGTCCATCCATGTTGCTGCATGATTTCAATGTTTATCTCATCTTTCTTTCTTTTTTTTTTTTTTTTTTTTTTTTTTTTTTGGCCATGCCACGGGGCATGCGGGATCTTAGTTGCCCAACCAGGGATCGAACCCATGCCCCCTGAACTGGAAGCACAGAGTCCTAACCACTACACCACCAGGGAAGTCCCAACGTTCCTCTCATCTTAAAAAATATCTTCCCAGCAACCTCTAGACCAGCGTTTGACCGCAAAGCTGGGTCCACAGCCCAGCCACACTGACATAAAATTAGCCAGCACAAAGTATGAGTTTTCAGGCAACCGAGAGCCCTGACTAGCTTCCGATGGGCATCGTCTGAAAGCAGGGACCCAGCCAGCTGGACCAGAGGGGAGTGGAAAAGGCACCAGCTCAAGCCAGCATGGCACCATCGCCTGGATGACGGCTCATCCTTGTGGCAGGAGGACCTGACGGCCGCCTCTCGTACTGGCGTGTTTCCACAGCTTGAGAAACTAGTGCAGGTGTCAGCCACTAAGCACGGCTGCTTCCACCAACAGCAGGGGGACAGGAAGAGCTGGAGGCAGCTGACGGGCCCCACGGCTCTTCAGCCTCGTGATGTCGCCCGCGTGAATCCTAAACCTTCCCTCCTGCAGCGGCCACTAAACCTGTGGCAACTCCCTCCAAACCGAGAAATACAAGAGGTCCGTGGGACTTCCCTGGCTGTCCAGTGGTTAGGGCTCCACGCTTCCACTGCAGGGGGCACGGGTTCCATCCCTGGTCGGGGAACTAAGATCCCGCAAGCCGCGGAGCATGGCCAAAATTTTAAAAATAAATAAATAATAAGATAATTTTTTAAAAAAAATAAAAATGGTTATGCTAGAAGGGCCAACACCAGAGGAAAGAGCCATGTAGGGAGAAGCCCCAGGGATGACAGGAGTAAATGCGGAAAGCGGGAGAGAAAACAGCCTCCACGTGGACCCGACAGAGGCCTTTCTAAGCAGGAGTCTCTTATGTGTGAAGATAAGCCCCACCCCCTCTGCGGGCTGGGTGAGGCAACAGGCAGTTTGAAGAGGCCCCCAGCCGCCCCTGAGCACATGGGCGGGAGAGTCAGCTGGACCCAAGAGCTGTGCCCGCTGAGGCCTGCAGCCCTGGTCACGTCCTGTGGCACTCAGCTGCTCTATCGGCCAGCTCGGGCTGCACGATGAGTAAAGGTATGCATCAAGTTGGCTGGGCCACCAGGAGCCCAGAGAGCTGGGGCACCGTAATCTCTGCATGTGTCTGCGAGGGTGTTTCTGGACGACATGAGTATTTCAACAGGTGGATGGAGGAAAGCAGATGGCTCTCCCCAGGGAGGGTGGGCCCCATCTAATCAGTTGACACTTGAACAGAACAGAAAGGCGGAGGGAGAATTCTCTCTCTCTCTGTCCTTGAGCTGGGATGTCCATCTCCTCCTGCCCTTGGACATCTGTGCACCTGGTTCCCAGGCCTTTGGACTCGGACTGAACACACCACCGGCTTTCCTGGGGCTCCTGATGGCAGACAGTGGCACTTCTCGGTCTCGCGAACTGTATAGGTCAATTCCAATCAATCAATCAATATATGCATACCGATATAAAGATACAGATATATGTATTACACAGGGTTCTGCAGAGAAACAGAACCAATACCTACATTTATCTATATCATCTATCTACCTATCATATGTCTATTATCTACATATCTATCATCTAGCTAGCTAGCTATTATCTACCTATCTGTCATCTATCTGTTATCTATCATCTATCCATCTACATAGATGTTAGATATACTCTGTTGGTTCCGTTTCCCTGGAGAGCCCTGACTAATACTGGCTGCTATAACAAAGTAGCCCAGACAAGGTGGTTTAAACAACAGACACGTGCCTCTCACAGGCCTGGCGGCTGCTAGTCCGACACCACGGCCAGGGCAGATTAGTTCCCAGCGAGGCTCTCCTCATGGTTTGTACAGCTGCATACTTGCCGTGTCCTCACGTGGTGGGGAGAGAGCTCTGGTCTCTTCCTCTCCTTATAAGGACACTAATCCCATCACGGGGACCCCACCCTCATGGCCTTATCTAACCCTAATCACCTCCCAAAGACCCCACTGCCTACCACCATCCCCTCGGGGGTCAGGGCTTCCATGTACGAATTCGGGGGGGACACAAAGACTCAGTGTGCAACATGCTCCCACCACCTCGCCCGGAGGTGTCCACACGAGAGGGTCAGAGGCAGAGGAGGAAAGGCAGGGCTGGGGGCTCCCTGCGCAGTCTCCCCCTGCGCTGCCAGCAATACGGACGTGCCTTCCTGCACGTGCATCGTGCACCCTCCATCCCCCGCGACTGTGCATCTGCTCTTCCCTTCATCCACCTCCCCGTTCCCAACCCATCCCAACGCCTCACCGGGTTGGTCAGGACAAGACCAGGGAGGGCCACTGCCAGCCCCTCGCACCGACCTCACCAGCCCCTCCCAGGGGGCGTCCCTGCTGCCAGAGACCCACCCAGGCAGGCTCACCGCTGGCTCGGGCACTACGCATGCGCCACCGCCGCTGCCCCGGGCCGCGCTCCGTCACGAGGCCGTACACGGCGGGACAGCCCTGAACCAAGCTGATCACAAACCCAGGACTGGCCCCCGTGGCCTGGCACGCGAGACCCCGGATGCCAGCGGGAAGGGAGGTGACCCCGTCACTGCATCCCAGCGGCTGGACCTCCCCCGTGTCCTTCTGCCACCTGGAGACCCTCCACGTGGGCTTCACTGCCCACAGCCCAGGAACAGGCTCCTCCCTGGGGAGACCCCACACCACCCCCCGAGGCAGGCCTGCAGCCACTCAGCCCATCTGCTACGGGGCCAGCTGCCCGGGCCCGAGAGGCGTGGTGTAGCTCTCCGGCCAAGTGCGTGTGAAGGGGTGAGGGCCACACCAGCCGCGGAGCCAGGGCACCAGGCACTGAGTGCAGGGCGATGCTCCCCCAACTCTCCTGGGTGAGGAGCTGGAAATGCTGAGTCCTCAGAGGTTCCAGGAAGAGAGGGGACTGCAGGAATCCCACGGTTCCTGCCAGGGTGTCTTACGGAGCCGGGAAACGTGTGAAGCCATGACACGCTGACCAATGACAGCTGTCCTTTAAGGAGAAGTGCGTTAACTCATTACATTTCCTGCAGGGAGAATCAAAGCTGCTCAACGCACCTTCAGTTTAGCCATAAAAGTATAGGATGGATGGATGGATGGATGGATGGATGGATGGATAGATAAACAGAGACAGATAGATAGACAGATATGACAAATTGACAGGTAATAGAAAATACATAGATACATAGATAATAAATAAAGAATAAGGGTATGGATGATAAATAAGATACAGAGAAAGATGATAGATACAGAGATGTATGATAAATTGATCATAGATACATAGATAAATACATAGATGATACAGACAACAGACACAGATAATAGGTCGATAGATAATAGACAGAAAATGGACAAGCGCATAGATGACAGATTATAGATGCAGAGATAATAAATAATACATACATAGATGATAAAGATGTAGACAGATGATAGATATGTAATAAATACACAGATGAATGATAACAGATGACAGATAATTGACAGAATATAAAAAAGAAGATATACATATAGGATATAAAAGTATATATATTTATATATGTAAATATATATACTTATGTTTACATACATATTTACATTATATATTATATATATATATAAATAGAATCAACTCCATCCAGGCATGGAATCACAAAGGTTAGTATGTATGTAACAAACTGGCCATCGACACAATTATCAGCTCCTACGCTGGACCATAAACCCCAATCCTGGCGTCCCTGGCGCTGCGCCGGAGATGTGATCTTCCCAATGTCACCTACCCTCCAATCGCTGCCTCATTTCCACGAAGACGCAGGCAGGATCCTCCTGGAAGCAAAAGCCCCGAGAGGACTCATCAAGTATCATCTCCCAGAACACCCGCCGTCCGAGGGGAAATGCATTTGCTGTGGACCCCACGTGACAAAATCTCTCAGGAAAAGTCCTCTTTCAAGGACAGCTGTGGAGACCACCGGGTTCCATCCTTCTAACAGAGGAAGTGATGCTCGTCTCCCTAAGGAAACACTTCCTAAGGAATCTGCCCCTGCCTTGTGCCATCTCCCATCTGCTAAAAGCCTATCCCATCTGGTCTCTCATCACCCAAAAAATTGAGTGAGTTTGGGTCAATCGAGAAGGTGAACAAATTGGGCTGAAAACGAGAGGTGGGCAAAGCATCCCAACCTTGCTTCAGGCCAAAGGTCAAACCACTGAGCAGATATTCTAAGAGTGTTCCCAGAAAACCAGCAGAAACAACCCCAGCAAAGAGGCCATGCGGAGCCCCCAGCCTCGGAGTCATAGCCTGGGAAGCCGGGATGGCCCAGGCAGCCGGGGGAACCCAGAGACCAAGCAGGTTCCAAACCCCAGGGCCCATGAGGGCCCTGCATCTGCAGGGCTGGCGCACAGGCCAGGAACCCGGGTCTGCAGAGAGGAAGGGGGACCCTGAACGGTCGGGATCTTGACTTAAGCACGACAGTATATGGGGCTGGCTGTGTGCACGGCAGGGCCGAGGAGAGGCCAGTGGGGCCGGAGGCTGAAGCCACCCAAGGCAAGCAGCAGCTGTACTCCACCCGCACGGGGCTGCAGAGCACGAACCAGCGAAGTTCAGAGGAGGGTGGCCAAGGGCCCCCAACACGTAGAAGGAGGACCCCGAAGGCCTAGCCCTGGGCCTGCTAGCCGTGAGAGGCACAGAAGGGCTTATGTTTCCAGGCAGAGCTGCAAACCCAGCCCCCCGGTGGCCAGAACAGCTGCAAAACATCCAACGCTGGGTCTTAATTCAGTACAATTTTACGACGGGGACACACGGGGCTGCAGGTTCCCAAGGAAAAGAATTCTAGCTATGTGTCCGGGATTGGTCCAGACTGCACCCGGAAACCAGAAAAACGAACTGTCCGAGGGCCGCGATGCTTTCAGAAGCCTGTGAAGGGCCCCAGGCCTTCTCAGCGGGTCAGGCCTTTGCTCAGAGGGCGGCCGAGACCCCGGGGTCACTGCAAACACACACTGAGGCGCCCGCCTCCCTGAGCCGGGATGAGAGCGGGACTCTGAAAGGAAACTGACTTTATAGCAAGACCTGAGCGTGAAACACACACCATCTTGACAAAGCAGAGTCCTGGGCCGACCCAGATAAGACACATCCTTAACGGTCAGGGGCTGTGCTTTTACGAGAAATTCTGGATGCCCTCAATGATACTTTATCTACGACACTGAAGGCCACGTTCCACTTAACGTTCGACGGAGAACTCTCTGCAAGTGTCAGGTTATCATGACTGAAAACTGGCCCGTTTAAACTCAAAATGTTTGTGCAGAAAAATTATACGCTTGAATCCCCCTCCCCATGCCCCCAGGAACAGAAGCAACCCATAACGTGCAGAAGGAGAAAAATAACGACGGACGCCGACCTCCCAGTCTGTCTGTTTCTGGGGTACCTCGTTTTCTTAAAAGGAAGGAGAGAAACGAAGGAACGGGGAGAGAAAGGAGTCGATGCGAAAGAACCCAGATGCCCTAGCGATACACATGGTCTGACGTCAGCACCCAAAAAAGGCTCGGCTTTTTAAAATCCTCCTCCCTACACCCAGTGCAAAGACAGCCCAGGGAACGAACGTGCAGAATCCCTACTCCCGAAGCAGGTTTCCCCGGCTGGCAGCTTTATTCACATAAACACACTGTGATGCCAAAAGATGCAGAAATGCATCACACCCTTGATGTGATTTCCAAAGACCCCAGAACAAAGCACAGTGGCCTTACTTCTGTGTGGCTTGGAAAAGTCTCTTTAAACAAACAGAAATAAAGCCCTCCCTCGAGGTCGGAGGTTTCCCTGCAAGTGTGAAGCGTTACTCACGCACGTCAGACAGATCAATTAGGAGTCCGTTTATTGCTGGGGTTTCTCGAACAAGCGTCCCAATTCGAAAGCGTTAAATAAGGACGAGTACAAGCCAGGAGGACGGCCGGCAACCCCGGGGCTTAGAAAACAACGGGAGAAACGCAGAGAGGCGGCTAGCTGGAGGGACACAAGTTTTCATGAGTGACAGAAAGCCTAGATTTTAAGAAATGTGAGGGGGGGGGGTGGGTCAGATGCAAAGCAGCCAACTACAGCCCGGGAGGTGGGATGGGCGTCTCTGCGGCTCTTTTTCCAGCCGGAGAGCAGAGCAGAGGGTCTGGAGACAGCGATGCTATGGCTTTCCTTCAAGGAGACTGCGCAGGTGAAGCTGCTTTCTGACACCTGATTTCCTAAACACATTCAAGGCTGGTGACATCAAGATAAAACACTGCCTTGGCCAGTGCCACAAGAAGTCCCCAGCCACGAACCTGGAGAAATGCCCTCCTTAAACCCCCGGGATGCGGCTCGATATTGGGGTCCTGGGAAAAGACTGCCGAGGGCTGAGATGGGGCATTTGTAAATCGCGTACCTCCCGACAAAACATCCATCCGGACTTGGGTTGTTTTAAGGTGGGAATCAGAGATAAGAGTGGTGTCTTTTTCTTTTTTGGGGGGCCACATCGTGCAGCATGTGGGATCTTACAGCTCCGACCAGGGGTCGAACCCATGCCGCCTGCATTGAGAGCACGGAGTTTTAACCACTGGACCAGCCAGGGAAGTCCAGGGGCTTTGCCTCTTAAAGAAAAGCAATTCGTTTAAAATAAATAAATAAATAAAAGTAGCTCTAAGTGTTAAAAACAGCCTTCCCGTTTCCCCAATAGCGGAAGCAACCCACAAGGACCCCCAAAGATAAAATGATCCCTGGTACTATTTTTAAGTCAATGCCCCCCGCCCCCCATTGGTGTTTAAAAGAGAATGCAAGAGGGCTTCCCTGGTGGCACAGTGCTTGAGAGTCCGCCTGCCGTTGCAGGAGACGCGGGTTCGTGCCCCGTTTCGGGAAGATCCCACATGCCGCGGAGCGGCTGGGCCCGTGAGCCATGGCCGCTGGGCCTGCGCATCCGGAGCCTGTGCTCCGCAAATGGGAGAGGCCACAACAGTGAGAGGCCCGCATAACGCAAGAAAAAAAAAAATAAAAAAAAAAAAATAAAAGAGAATGCAAGAGCCCTTTCCAGGAATCAAATCTAAATCAGCCCTCTAGAGCCGGCCGTGGGCACGAGAGGGCCCTCCATATTCAAAAGCAGGGTTTCCAGGGAGTGGGGACCGCCTTCTCTATGTTCATCCCAAGAAAAGTGGTTCTGGGGAAACCGGACCTTTGAAGCGTCAGACTCACAAAAAACCCACCTCAGGACCCATGAGCTACAGGGCTCACAAAGACTGTGAATTCAGGCAAGGGGAGAAAAAAGACTGATTCATGGCAGAAAACACACCACAACCAACACCTCTTTTCTGCTTTTTTTTTTTTATAAGCGGTTGCACTGCAGGCTCACTGTTAACATTTTCCACCAAACATAAAACTGGTGTCTCTTGAAAACAGGGTGTCTGGCGAAAGTGTCTCTCCCCGGCTACCCAGAGTCAAGGTTCCCACGTAAATGACAGTGTAAATAGGTTCCTTCACCAACCAACGGCTAACATCCACGGATGGTGTCGGTGGAGGACACGCAGGGGTTTCCTCCTCAGCTGCCCGTCGGTTTCAATCTTTCTCCGATTTACCCCAAACCGTCCCTCGCAGAGAACATGAATGCTGCAGGTATGCAATTATCTAGGAGGCAAAACATCCCTGCCGGCCGTGCTTCTGTTGCGGAGTTCAGCATTTGCAATCCTATCGGCGGACATCTAGAGCTTTTATAAGTCATTTCTCTCCCTTGCGTTGGGACGCAAGGGGCCCCTCCAGAGAAAACGCTCGTTTTCACCAGCTTTGGGCCACCCAAAGCCCAGCTCTGTCCTCTGAGCCGCCCAAAGCCCCCCACCTGTCCTTTGGGCCACCCAAAGCCCCTCTCTCTCCTTTGGGGCAACCAAAGCCCGTCTCTGTCCTCTGGGCCGCCCGAAGCCCCCCACCTGTCCTTTGGGCCACCCAAAGCCCCTCTCTCTCCTTTGGGGCAACCAAAGCCCGTCTCTGGCCTCTGGGCCGCCCGAAGCCCCACCAAAGGTCCATCTCTCTGTTTTGCGCATTTCCTCTGTCCCGGGCAGCGCGCCCGCCGGCGGGGTCAGTACTGACAGCCAAGCATCCGACGAGCAGCGCCCACGCGCGCTCCCCGCCCCGCTACACGAAGCCGCCGTCCCTGAGGCCGAAGTAGCCGGCGTGGCCGGCGTCGCCCAGAGGCAACGCCTGCTCGTGGCCCAGGCCCCACTCGCCCTCGTCCTCGTCCTCCAGCTCGGCCGCGGCGCCGCGCGCATTCTCGTACAGGAAGATCTGCTCGTGCACGTGCGCGGGGGCCAGGCGGTTCCGCTTGGCGCTGACCACGTTGGCCGAGGAGCCGAAGAGGCGCTCGGGGCAGACGCGCGTGGCCGCCACGGACCAGTACTTCTGCAGCAGCCTGGGCAGCAGCGGGAAGAGCGCCAAGCGGTCGGACCACCACCTGAGCGGGTCCTCGCTGAGCCCCAGCACCTTCTGAGACTTGAAGTTGCTGAGCTCCTCCAGCACCTGCGCGCGCCAGCCGTCCTGGTCCTCGACGCCCGCCGCGGGGCAGAAGATCTCGGCCAGCATGTCGTGGATGACGCTGGCGGGCGGCGGCGTGGCCGAGGGAGCCGGCTTCTTCACGGGGGGCTCCTCGGGCGGGGCGTACAGCTGGTCCCCGGGGGCGCGGTAGGCGCCGTCCTTGGCCTTATCCAGGAGCCCCTTGGCCTCCTCCACCACCCTGTTCTCCACCTGCTGCCTCTCGAAGGCGGACAGGAAGGGCAGCCTCTTGTAGCGCGGGTCCAGGAAGGTGGCCACGTTGAGGAACATGTCGATCTCGGGCGTCTCCTGGTAGGTCTTGGCGAGCTCCTTGGCGATGACC